CCCCTGTGGCTCAGGGCGTCCCAGGACAGCAGCGCCTGGTGGCTGCCACCTGATGCCCAGGGCTGCCCCATCACCAGAGCAAAGGGACTGGCCCAGGGCTCATAGGCCATCTCACTGGCTCTCACCTGCAGGGTGAGAAGGAGGGTCCGAGGCCAAGGCCTGGGGGCCACTAGGGAAGTGGGGCCCCGCTCCCGTCCCAGGCCGTAGCCCCTGTGGGAGGGACACAGCAGGAGAGGAGGGATCCCTGCTGGCCCGGCATGGCCAGGCCGCCGGCTCATCGCCCGACGGGGAGTCCCGGGAGCCAGGCACGTTGCGCCCAGCCGGGGAGCAGGTTGAGCCAAAGCAAGACAGCAGCAGAAAAAGCAGCTGCCAGAGCCAAAGGTGCAAAGCACCACAGGGCCCACCCTGTCCGGCTGCCCTCCTTCAGCCCCGGGCCACATTCCGGAGCCGGCTCCAGCTGCGGGGTCCCAGCACCAGACTGTCCCCCGGCCAGCCCTTCACTCTTCTGCTTACACACCCACCACCGGTACCTCCCCTCGCACACCCATTCCGGGCACGTCTCCTTACACCCCTAGTGCTGGCACCTCCCCTTGCACACCCACTGTGAGCACCTCTCCTTAAACACCCACCGCCGGCACCTCCCCTTTCACAACCACCACCAGTACCTCTCCTTGTATACCCACTGTGGGCACCTCTCCTTATGCACCCACTCTGGGCACCTTTCCTTACACACCCACCACCAGCACCTCCCCTTGCACACCCACTGCCAGTACGTCTCCTTCTAGTCCCACGGTGGGCACCTCTCCTTACACACCCACTGTGGGCAACTTTCTTACACACCCAAAACTGGCACCTCTCCTTACACACTCAGCGCTAGCATCCCCCCTTGGGCAACTCTCCTTACACTCCCAGCACCAGCACCTCTCCTTACACACCTGGTGCTGGCACCTCCCCATAAACACTCAATGTGGGCACCACTCATTACACACCCAGTGCTGGCACCTCCCCTCACACACCCACTCTGGGCACCTCTCCTTACACACCCAGCATCAGCACCTCTCCTTACACACCCACTGTGGGCATTTCTACTTGCAAACCCACCATGGGCACCTTTTTTTGTACAGCTGCTTACACAGCCACGATGCATAACCCACTGTGGGCATGTCTTCTTGCACACCCATTGTGGGTGCCTCTCCTTACACACCCTCTGTGAACACCTCTCTTTACACACCCAGCACCAGCACCTCTCTTTACACACCCTGTGCTGGCACTTCCCCTTGCACAGCCACTGTGGGCACTTTTTATTATACACCCACCACCAGCACCTCTCTTTACACATGCACCATGGGTACTACTCCTTACACACCTACCGTGGGCAACTCTCTTTACACACCCAGCACCAGCACTTCTGCTTACACAGCCAGTGCCGGCACCTCCCCTTGCACACCTACCACCAACTCATCTCCTTGCACACCCAATGTGGGCACTGCTTCTTACACACCCACCGCTGGGCAATTCCCTTTACATACCCATCACTGACACTTCTCCTTACACACCCAGCACCTCTCCTGACACACACACCACAGGCACCTCTCCTTACACAGTCACTGCCAGTAGGTCTTACACACCCACCACTGGCACCTCTCCTTACACACCCACTCCTTACACATGCACACCAGCACCTCTCCTTACACACCCTCCACTGGCATCTCTCTTTACACATCCACCGTGAGCACTTCTTCCACTCCCACAGCGGGCACCTCTCCTTACACGCCCACCATGGGCACGTCTTCTTACACACTCACCACCAGCACCTCCCCTGATATACCCACCATGGGCACCACTGCTTAGACATGCAGCACCAACACCACCCCTTAGACACCCGCTGTGGGCTCCGCTCCTTCCACTCCTGCCAGGGGCACCTCTCCAGGCACATTTGGGGGGCATTCCTGGGAGGGCCCGGAGGGCTAATTGCTCCTAGGCCCCTTGGCCAAT